AGCTTTAACAGTACAGAGGATTTCTAGCTTGTTCAACGGCTAATTTCCTATGCTCTCCAGTTGATAGCATTGATTGCCCAGTGTGCTGATTTCTGTGGAGCACTCATGCATCATAGCTTTCAAAACGTCATCGTCCCCGTGAGGATCTTGTATCACATTTGCAAGAAAATTAAACCTTTCTCCAACGCGCTTATCCTGTCTCTTCAAGTAATCAACCAGTCCAAAAAGCTGACTCATTATTTCGATAGGAAAATTTATTTCTTCTCTGATATGACTTGAAATAAAAACTTGCATTGCAATTTTATTTTGGGGTGGTGAAATATTTTATCAGATTCATAGAAATACATAAGCGTAATGTCGTTGTCTAGTCCACTTATAGTTATGAATACTGCATACAAAGCAAATTCTTGGCAGGAGAGAATTTTAATATTTGAATAGGTAGCAATGAAAATTGAATCCTCAGTTAGGACTGTATGAAAATGGTCACTGGAAATATAATTTTACAGAAACTTCTGGTCTCATAGCTTTCACACATTGTTTTTCCTTTGCCCAACCAACTGAGAAAGAGAATATGAGAATTTTCTGGCTTCATGCCTTTATACCAATAGAGTTACTGTATTGTTAATTCTAACTATGACAAGGCAGAACAGTGGTAAGATCTTAACTGTGCAAAATCTACACACTATTAAGCCTTCTCCACTAAAGCTGCATCTACACTTCCCCAAATTAATTCCTTAGTTTGATGCTAATGTCATTTATTAGTACTGCGGTGAGCAGGGGCCATTGTTAAGGTTACCTTATTTTTGTGAACACACAGCTGGAGCTGGTTCTAGATGTTGCAGCTCAAAACTCATTAACTCCACTGTAAATTCATCAATAAATGAAACCTTCAAAGGAAACCCACGTAGATAGTGATCATGTCAGAGAGCCAGGGTGACTGGAGAGGTACAGTCAGGATACAAGAAACACAAGGGGTATACTAACTGTGGAAGTGATTTTTGAAAATAACTTAGTTACTAAATAAAAGAAGTCCTATTTATGCTTACCATGACCCAACAACACTCAACAATGTCAACAATTAAACTATCTCTTTCCTCCAAAAACATTTTACTGGTTTAAGTTCCAATTGCAATTGCAAAACTAAGTATTAAATGTTAGTAATGTGCATGCAAATCTCAACCTAACAAATGTTTATGGTATTCTTTTCATGCTGTTGCAAATGGAAATTTACTTGTATAGGGTTATGTCCCCAAACATGCTCATCAATACATGTTACTTAGACACCTGCACTTAGAGGGTGAATGGCCTTTTCAAACTCATGCAGATGTTAAGCACCATTTCCTCCCTTACACCTGATTGTCTTCACCTTCCCCATCCAATCTTTGCCAGGGCTCTGTCTTTCTAATGCCTCAGGCCAAAACCCTTGGTGACAACTTGAACTCCACTGCTTTCAATATCCTACCACCATTTCACTAGATACTGTTGGCCCTAATGCTAAAGATATTCAGAATCTAACCTACCCTACCCTCCCCCCCCCCATTCCTGTGTCATCCTACGTCATCTCATCTAGAGCACTGTGATGGAATCCGTTCTGCATTTTCCATGTCAATGAGGCCTCATAGTTAGCAGTGTCTGTGAAAGCATCCATTGTCCTACCCTTCTCTGAGGGGAACTATTGGCTATTGATGGATGCTGGAGGTCATTTCCTTCAGTGTGTCCCCATTGGTTAACCCACCCGCATCCACTGCACATCCATAGCCTCAAGGATGACCAGGGTTAGACTCGTTGGCTCACAGAAGAAAACAGAAAGGCATCAAAGTGGGGAAGAGCCTTGTGGGGAAGAGAAAGGGCTGACAGTGAGAGAAAATGATGAGAGTGAATGAAATTCCCACTATGTGTGAATGAAATTCCCGCTATATGTGAATGAAATTCCTGCTGTATGCGAATAAAATTCCCACTATATGTAAATAAAATTCCCGCTATATGTGAATGAAATTGTCAAAAAAAATATCTTATCAATAAAAAAGACTAGAAGGGCATATATTGGAGCCCACCCCTTATCTGTTTGACACTTCCTAGTGACTGTCCATTTTTCTTTAAAGTGGCAGTTCTCATGATTCACAGGCAGGATGCCCAGGATCCTCCTGCAATTGTGCTTAATTAAAGAAAGGTGAACAAATTAGAAGGAAAAAAATGGAACTTAAAATGTATGTGTCACTAATACTATTTCTAACAATCCATTCTCAGGAGATAATCATGAATTCAATTTCAAATTTACATACCCTCCTTCTAGTGTTCTTTATAACATTCCGTAGTAACTGACATGGAGTGCATATTGTATGATGCAATCTGTCTCCACCCAGCAACATGAGATTATAGGAAGATGTGGCCATACATTGTTTTACATGGGTAGCTTGGTATTTGAACTTGGGACCTCTTGATTTCACACCAAGTACTCTTATGCTCTGAGCTCTCTCTCCATGCCCTAGCTACAGTATTTTTTAATCTATAATAATATGTGATAATATTTATGAAATTGTTAGCTGAAAAATGATTAGACAATGCAGGATAATCTAACCTTAACAAATATATGCACACACATATGTGCATATATTCATACACACACACACACACACACACACACACACACACACACACAACCATATAAAACAAATGTCAGAAGAAAAAAAAAGCCCCTAAAGAAAAACTCAGTTTCTTGAAGAACAGTCCATTTACTAGATGGCTGTTATCTTTATTTTTATTTTCTTATTTTCTGTGTCTTCTTCTACTGCATATTATTTTCATGACTAGTTGAAAAGGTTAAACTTGTATTCCAGACTGTTCATTGAATGGCTATATCGTTAAGTTCACATGAAAATTGTCATAGTCGGGTGTGGGGGCACATGACTGGAGTCCCGACACTTGGGAGGCCGAGGCAGTAAGATTGCAACCCGATGACATACTCTAACAGTCGCATATACTACAACAGTGTATGATACGGCCATGATGAGTTTCCAGTGTTTTCTTATCAAAGAGATTTTCTAATTTTTCCCTCCTTAAGTCCCAGTGTTTGTAAGAACCCATTTACTTCAAGATGTATTTAAGTAAAGTGTATATGTGCTTGCCCTCCTGAGTTTACGTGTACTGTCTGCAAACAGGAGCCTTGAGAGGTCAGAATGGGGGGGGGGGGGCGTCAGATGCCCTGGAACTGGAGTTACAGACAATTGTGAGTCACCATGTCAGTGCTGGGAATCGAACCTCTGAAAGGGTTGTAAGTGTTCTTAAACCCCAAACCCATCTACGTTAGGAGTGTGGATGGTTTTACATATTTTAACCATTGAAATATATATATATATCCAAAGACAGAGAACTGCAAGGTTCTTCAAGGATCTTGCGTCTGAAGCAAACCTGAATGCCGCTTGCTAGAATTCCTGCCCAAAGCAAGGAAACATGATTATGGATCGAGGTAAATCAGATAGGATAATGTAACCCGGAAGTTTCAAAGTTACCAAAGCTCCTCTTCTCCACCTTTGCAGAGAATCTTCAAGGAGGTGGCGGCGTACACCAAGAGAGGCTGTGCTGGCAAAGCTCTGCTGAACTGCTTGATGAAAAGGCAAAGGAGAACCATGTTATTGCACTTGAACTATGATGTCATTCGAAATGCGTTCGGCCAGCCTTGAGAAGCAGAAACCTCAGCAAGCAGAGCTGGGTGCTCCCTCATCTGCGTGCACATACATGTCCAGACTCATTTTATCCTTACCACAGGAAGATACAGGGGGAGAAAAAAAGAGGAATACGGAGGTGAAGAAATAATGTCAATACATATAACTATTAAATTGCGGGGCTGGCTTTCAAACCCAAGCACTGAACTTCATGGTCTCTTCCTTCTTAATCTCACTCCCTGGCCACAAAAGAAAGAGGGACTCCCCAGCTATTGCAAAATACATTCCTTGTGATCTGAGATATTATTTTTTTTAGAGGGGGAGGGGTTGTATTCTGTTTGTAGAAAGCATTGATGGTATGCAGGTGGTGTGTGTGTGTGTGTGTGTGTGTGTGTGTGTGTGTGTGTGTGTGTGTGTAAGTGGGAGATTTGCTAATGCAATCTTTCTTCTGTCCTTCTGTTGCAGTGAGGCTGAAGTGCCTTCCTGCTGGCAGGAATAAACCCTCAAATAAAGCTAGGAGACACAGTTGCTCTCCTCTGTGAACTGCTTGAAGGGCAGACGATCTCGGGTCCATCCATTACCACATAAATAATTAAATACCCGGAGCCTGCAGTGAGCCCAGGTTGGGCACTTGGTGAAGCAATTCACATTAAATATTGGTGAGCACACACTTGGTCAGTCATTAGCTCCTCCTAGTGGTTCCTTTGGCCTTTGGTCAGGAGGCAGCTAAGGTGTTGCTGTCTTGGAGGAAGCCTTAAGTTTCTTCTGCAGGCAACCATCTCGACCTCTCAGGCCACAAGACCTGACCACACTGGAAATGGCCACAACCCTGAGTGCCAAAGCTGGTTTTGTCAACAAACCAGCTTCCCAGAACCACAGCAGAGCCCTGACTCTTCTGTGCCTGTGGCATTTACCACAAGTCAGTCAACTCCGATGCCTAAGCCCATCTAGAAATAGAGCCCAGCTACAGTTCTGTTCTCTGCTGGAGATGGGTAGGCCTTCGGATAACGGACCAAAAAAGTAAAATATAAGTGACCTACAGCTGCCTTTTAGTCACACTGTGCTCTTGCATGTGAAGGAAAACGTAAGTGCCACAAGAAAGTTTAATCACTTCAAATACAGTAATGAGGCCACAGCTTTGTGGAGGGAGGGAGCAGGGGGGCGGTGATGGAGACCAGCTGCTTCTGATTCCTCCATCCAACCCTCCTACTCACCTCTCCTGTGAAAATGACTCCCCTTTGAGAATTAGTAGGTCCCAGGCCACACCACCGCATACTTGCCATGCATGGATTTGGCAAGGTCCAGTATTTAGGTCTCCGAGGACATCTTGGCAACTCAGAGGGAGCTGAGTCTCACAGGTAGGATAAGCATCATTAGTGAACTGGAAAGAAAATCCTTAGGCAAACCTAAACTAGAATTGCCTGCCTTGAGGAAGCTAATACAGAACAGTGACAGGCAAATCCTAAGGGCACTGTAGTCAAACATTAGGGGGACCCCTCTGTTCCTTCAGGGTGTAAGTGCATGCTCTATTGTCTAGGTTGACTTGTCAGGGCTCAAACTTGCCAGTCCATGTGCAATCACGGTTAGATATAACCCCTGTAATCTACCCCACACTAAGTCAATATACATTGATTTTTATTATCCGTGCCATTAAAATTGGGCATTAAAATTCCACCTGCCCCGCCCCCACTGGAAGTCACATCACAGAGATGAAAAGGGTTGGCATGGTTACTCACTCAGGAATACTTAGAACATGAACATTCCCATCACACATGCTTGAGAACACCCACCACCACCACCACCACCACCACCACCAAACAGCCTGGGCTGTTCAGAAAGGCTTTAAGCCTTTGAAAAACCACCAGCCATTCTGGATACACTTCACTGTGGAGAGAGCTTGTCTAGAAAAAAAACTAGGGATTGGAATTAGAAATAAATCTAGGTTAATATCCTGGCTTTGCCCTTGAGCAGGGTCCCCGTAAGCAAATCTGGTGGCATCTGTTGGTTCCAGCGTAGAGGAGTGCCACTAACACCCGATTTGCGGATCTGCCTGTGGGAAGGGGCTGATCCTGTGAATGAACTACTTAATCGAGACAGCACCAAGTCAACTTCCAAATGCCCAGTGCTCTGCCCCTTCCCTTTCCTGTCAAATTGCTGTTCCGGTGAATGTGGGTGCAGGGGTGTCAGGGGGCAGGGGGGAGGTAGGTGTGTGCTCCAGAGAATGTGAAAACTCTGGAATGTTCTTTTCCTCCTATCTGCTGCTTGGAGATTGCCTGGTGAGATCCTCTTTCCTCCATCCCCCAACTGGCACATCTAAAGGTAGCTAAATATCCTTGGGTATTATAGATAGATCAGTGTCCCCAGAATGGATTGGCCTGTCTTGGTCTGTCTCCTCCATTTACCTTGTGTTGTTCTCAAAACCTCTGACTCCTCCCTAGGTTCCTGACTCACTCAGGCAATTATTCAGGAAATATTTATGATGAGCCAATCCCCCTGGGATACCAGGGTGAGCAGTGCCGTCTCCGCTCTACCTTCATGGCGAGCCTGTTCTTGAGGAGGAGACGGACAGGAGAATACAGCAAGCACACAATGCTTTAATTATAACCCGTGACCCTCGGGCAATTGCTATGACAGGGCTCCAGGAGACAACAGACGTGTCAGTAACTGGGGGTGGGTCATCAAGCTGCATGTGCCGATGAAGTGAGGATCTTTGGAAAAGAATCATTACGGGAAAAAAAAAAAAAAAAAAAAAAAGTGGGGATCTCAGCCAGGAGTGTCCCATACAGTATTGCTCGATGGGACCCATGTAATTAAAGTGGGGAAAGGGGGTGTTGGGGGATGAAGGGCACCCCATCACTTTCTTCTCCAGATTCTCCTCCACTCCCACAATGCTGAGCTCCTGCCTAAGGACTGAGCCACATAATCTCCTGTGGCTTCCTCTTGTGTTTATCTAGCACCTTATTTATCTCTTGCAACTTTTTCTCTGTATGGGTCTTTTCATAAGCCGTATCCCCACTGCTCTTACCTGCGCACACCCTCCCTCCTCTCCCTGGAGTTGTTTGATAGTGTCTCTTACAGTTTCTGTTGTTTCTCTGGTCTCACAGATGCTCCCAAGGGTGACATGGGTGCCAGGATCCCAAGACTGCCTCAGCATACTGGTTTCCCATAGGACTGTCACCCAGGATAGACCTTTACTTCATACTCTGCAGGGTACAAAACACTTCTAACAGCACTTTCCCTGAACAGTCTACAGCAGTCAGCTCCCGCCAAAGAGTCACATGCTTCTGGTGGCCACCCTGTCCGCTGGGCTCTTCCCAGCATTTTCTCCCGAAGGCTAACACGGAGCCGTCCCCCGCCCCCCACCCCCTGCCCCTAGCCGATGCTCTTTCTAGAGGGCATCCCAAGTTCTTTTGGCACATTTTCTACCTCCGTCCTCTCCTCCTCCTCACTCTCGCCACCCCACGCAGATCCTGTGCTGATTGACTAACGTCACTGGCTTATGTACCAGGGAATCAATCAGAAGATGCCTTCCCACGCAGAGCAAAGCTCTTGCCTCCCCGCCAGCAGGCTGCTGCCTCTGACATTTCCTGCATGCCCAGACTGAGCCTTTGGAAGCCTCGCCCCCTCTTGTCGCTCTGAACCAGTGGTTCTCAATCTGTGGGTCGTGACCCTCGGAAAACATGTATTTCCAATGGTCTTAGGAACTGAGACACCGCTCAGTCGCAAAATTACAGTTATGAAGTAGCAACGAAAATAAATTCATGGTGGGGGGTGGGGGTTGCGGAGTCTGGGCACTCAGGGGCCTGGCAGCGGTTGCTCTGAGTCCTGACCACCATTCCACACTGGCCTGCTGATTCTCCTTTGCACCCTCAGCTGAGTCCCGATTTCTTCCTGCTGGCGCTCTCTCACTGTTTGAATGGAATCCAGGCAGGAAGGGCTCCCTGAAGCCCTAGATTCCAGCAGCTCACCCCTTGCAGCCTTCCAGATAAAGGATGTTGGACCAGCTTCATGGTCTTTGGTTCATAAAAAGAAATCAGCTCACCAATGTCTTTACCCAAGCCACTCAAAGATCCCTTTGTGCAGACAGTGCCTGCTGGCCTGGGCACTGTCCTAATTTGATTTTTAGAAGCTCCTCTTTCTGCCAGAGTGCAAGGGAGCTCAAGGACTGAGGGAATTGATAAATGGATTGTATTTGAACCTTGATAGAGGGTTTTTTTGTGTGTGTGCCCCTTTGAAGCCAAATCCTTCCTCTGCAGTCTAGAAAGAAAAGAATTCCTCTCTTGCTGTCTCTTCCCACACAGATGTTCCCTTCTCATGTTTCTGGTTCCATTCCAGGTAGCTTAGCTAGATGCAGAAACCACTGTTTCTCCTTATCCCAAATCTTAGCTTCCCCCCTCCCCGCCCCCTGTACAGACCAGCTAGGAAATACAGAGAATGGAAAAGAATTCAATTTACAAATCATTCTTATCCAGGAATCAAGAGCTAATAGCTGTTCACACATCAGAGTATTTCTTTGCAGTTTTCCGCGTTATAGATGCAAAGAATAACTAACCACATGTGTTCTCTCTCTCTCTCTTTCTCTCTCTCTCTCCTCTCTCTCTCTCTCTCTCTCTCTCTCTCTCTCTCTCTCTCTCTCTCTCTCCCCCTGTGTATGTATGTGTGTGTCTGCTCTGTCTCTCTCTTTGCCCTCTCTGTCTCTCTGCTCTCTCTTCTGTCTCTGTCTTTCTCTGTTCTATCTCTGTCTCTCTCTGCTCTATCTCTGTCTCTCTATCTGTCTCTCTGTCTGCCTGTCTCTATTTCTCTCTGTGTGTGCTCTCTCTGTGTCAGTGTGTGTCTGTCTCTGTCTGTCTGTCTGTCTCTGTCTCTGCCCCCACCTCCCATATGTTAAAGAACTATCACTTGGCACATCTTTTAACCTGTTCTGATTTCATAATTTATGTCTCTTTCAGTCAGGATTATTCTTTGATCCAGCTGTTGACCTTTAGAACAGACAGGTGCATCCAAACACATGTTAAGATGTTCACCAGAACAACCATCATATTTAGTTGTCTATCAGCTAAATATCTTAGAGTCCCAAAAGTATGTGATGGGACACAGACATTGTAGGCTAGTCATGGAATATAACACTATGAGAACATTAAAAGTTATAAATAATACCTGCATTCAGTACACGTGTGAACATAGAATATTGTTTAAAAACTCATTGCGTTAAGTGAAACAACCAGACTTGGAAAGACAAGTGGGCACACTATCTCTTTTATAAGGAACCAGATTTAAAATTGTTTAGGTGTGTGTGTATATGAAGAAGTTTATGTAAGTCCTTAAACTTAGAAATGGAATCAGTAGAGGGGGGAGAGATATTAAGGGTGAAGAAAAGTAGAGAACATAATGGATTCTACATAAAATAAAGGCAGAAGGACAAATTAGTATATTTCCTGGGGTGTATGCATACATGGATCTCATCTTTGAGAGAAGACCCCAAGTATCGATTTTGTTTATCTGTGGACAGATGTTTTCTGAGTATAGTGTGTTTACAGTCTGGTTATCTCAGTGCATTAAAAATCAACATTTGTGTTTGTGCAAAAATTTAGAAAGAGAAAAGCCACTTGGGATCATTTTCTTTTCAAAATCATTATTTTTCTCAAAAGTGACAGTCCGTGGCTGAATGCCACAGTGTGTTTAACTACTTCCTTATCTCAATTCCCTGATGCTATATTGAAGGGTGGGGTGGTGTGGCATAGGAACAAGAACTACTGGACTAATTTAGGGACAAGCCTGGACTAGACTCGCAAGTCCTCAGTTTCAAAAGCCTAAAAAAACCTCATCTCCCTTCCTGGCTGGCATAAACCTAGTAACAGAGGATCACAGTGGTGTGTGTGTGTGTGTGTGTGTGTGTGTGTGTGTGTGTGTGTGTGTGTAACAGACATATATCTACACTCAGTGTCTTACATTACTGGTTTCAAAGGGTAGTCGGGGCTATACATTTGCACCTCAGTATTCTCTGACCCCCAGGATGTAGGTCACCAATTTCTACTCTAATCCCATCTCGGCTTTCTCTGTGGCCCATGGGGCTGGAGTCCCCATTCGACAGCATTAGAACCTTCGTGTGGCATGATGAGGAATGCAGATTCTGGGGCCTCGTCCAGGCACGTAGAACCTGATACTCTAAAGGTTTGAAAGTCCAGGGACCCGCCCACTACCATGCTTGAACTGGTTCTCCGGGTGCCTGACGCTTGCCTTCCTGAAACCACAGCAGAGCCAGCAGGCAAAAATCAGGAGAAGACAAGCCAGGAGGAAAGTTAGGGTGGCCTAGGTTAGCATGTCTTTCCTTTCTTAGCCTGCCGGCCCTTCCACCTCATTGTCTGCAAATGAACCCAGAAAATCCTAAGAACCTGGATTTCAAGGTCAGATGGCCTGCGCTTACAAACCAATTCACTCACTTGTGAATTCTATGAGTTGATGTGACCTGCCTGACATCTTCATTTCTATTTTTTCATGTACAAAGTGGGATGAAAGCCAGTTCCACCCTGTTGGCATTACTATTTGAGCCTTGTTTGGCTCCTAAGGATCTGTATCAGATTATCTCCATTACTGTCCCCAGTCTTGCTGTTGCCTTTTGTCCCATCAGAAGTGTCACATGCTGTGAATACCTCCCAACACCTACATACCCGGCATTGGGCTTCCCAAGTGTCACAGGTTGACTGAGAATTTTCTTCTCCTCTAGACTCTATTAATGGTTAGTTTCAGTGGGTTGAGTTGTTTTCCTGAAAAGCATTCTTTGTCATAAAGCAATACCTGTGAACATGACTTCATCATATACATTACCTTTATACATTGCTATCATTTGGGTCTTAAGTGTTCCCCCAAGGCTATGTGTTAAAGATTGAGTTCCCAGGGTGGTGTGATTTGGAGGTAAGAGAAACTTCAAGAGACAGGGTCCGATGAAAAGCCTGCTGTTCATTGGGAGTGTGACCTTGAAAGAGATGATTTGACCTTAATTGCTTCCTCTCTTCCTTGTTCTTTCCTGGATCTAAGGTGAGACTCTTGCTTGGCTATATTCTCTGGTCATAATATGCTGCCCGGTCACAAGCCAAAAGCAATAGGCCCATTCATCAGGATCATCAACAATGGATCGAATCCTCCAAAACTGTGGACCAAAGTAAACCTCTCTGTAAGTTGAGTTATCTCAAGTCTTTGTTATCCTAATAGAAAGGGGACTAACAGAGTTATCATAGAGTTAAGATGAAGCCAGTCACACCATGGAAGGGCAGGCCCTAGCTCTTCTATGATGAGGAATGTTCAGACACAGAAACACACAAGAAGGAGACCATGTGGCATGCAGGTGGGTATTGGAGTTACACTATATAAATCAAGAACAAAGATTGTTAGCAACTGCCAGAAGGTGCATGTAGGCGAGGAAGGCTACTCCTCCTCTACCACCTTTAGACTGAGAATGGGCCTGCCAACACCCTGACTTTGGACCTCTGTGTGACAGTGCATGAGTGCTATTCTGTACATGTACATTCAGTTGGTGGCAAATTGTTGCATCCACTCTGGCAAAATTATATGTGAATGGTTTGTATAATGGTTTGCAATTATAAAAAAAAAAAAGATACTGGTACTTCAGAGATGGGAATTTAGGGTCAGGTAGTACACAGAGAAAAAGTAATCTTATTCAGTAAGAACCATCAAAGTACATCGTGGTTTCATCAATCACAGTACAGTGATTAATGACAATCATTACGACTCCATGCTGTTGCATAAAGCTTAACTTGCATGTGTGACAGCAAGACTATGTGAGGCATTGCACAAATGTTTCTCTCCCAATTTGAAGGCCAAATACACCCAAGCAGTAGGAGAGTAATTTTATTCATTCAGATATTTTCTTCCCAGTACAAATACTTTCATAGTTTAAGTTCAAGTACATAGACTCTTGCAAACTCTGCAACAGACAGACAACCAGTGAATGCTTACTTATTTTGCTCCTACAGATAACTGAACTGCAAAAAAAAAGCTTTTAGAGAACTAATGTTAAATAAAAAGTATGAAGTACATTTTTGGCTAATGTTTTGTGAAAATAATACACGTTAAAGAAGAAATGCCTCTTGAAGGAAAGTCTAGTACAGTTACACTGTTCCCCTCTCAAAGGAACAGAATTCAATCCCAAATATTGCCCCATTTCTTACCAATCTAATATGTGTGAATGAACCTCTACTGTGGCTATTATTATTGAATAAAAAATTAAACAGAAAATATTGTCCCCAAACACAGCAGGCTAAATAGAAAATATGCATCTGTAAGGCCATGTTTAAAAAAAAAAATTACAGAATATTAACCCCTTAGTGACAGAATTTCGTACTCAAGACTTGCATTTTACAGCTCTGGTTGATGGCAGAAACTTCTGCCTTGTTTTACTTTCAAGAAATCCTTAAAACCAACAGAAGTTTGGACGGTGGGTCTGACTTTCACATGAACACTAACTGCCGGAAAAACCCACCTCAATCTACTCACCCAAACATGCTTTCCTGGGATATGTTTAGTTCTCAGAATAAACCATTTCTATCCTGTCCCAAAGCTTAGGAAGATCAGAATACAGATGATAACCACAGCTAGGAATTATAAGCTATGGGAACCTGAAAAATTGTAATTATTTATCCTGGAAAAGGTAATTAGCTGGCAGATGCCTTGCCCTAATTAAAACACTCTGTCAATTACCTGGCCCCATTTATCAACATCTCCAACTTCTCCAGATCATTTTGTTGCTCAAATTATTATGTGCAGGGATATTTTTCCACTCCCTTCATTAGACTAATATGCTTCTCCTCTTGTATACTTAGAAATGATAGTAGAATCTGGTTCCACTACCTAACACCTCTCCAGGCACTTTCCCATGAGAGGAAAACACTTGAGACATCTTTCAAGATCATCCCACTTTAATTATAATGAGTTTTAAAATATTAAATAACGATCACATACAGTCGCTCAAATAAAGAGTAAAGAAAAATGAAGGTCAAGAGGCGAGATTCACGTTGGAGAAAGTATTTGCATTGGAAGACTTATTGAGCATTAAAAATAAAAACACCACCCACATTGTTACAGGTCTTGCAGAAAGGTATAATAAAAGTCCAAGATTGTCTTTAAATTTTAATGTACCAAAAAAATGAGTTTTCAAGAGTCTTTCCTACACTGCAATAATGGGAACGCCAGCTCTGTATGAAGTCCACCAAGGGCAGGAAGGAGACACAGTAGTCATTTATATATTTGTTTGCATTTTACACAGTGCTGGGGCATAAAAAGAGGAGGGCTAGTTCTGTCTTGATTTACGACTTCGAAAAAGTATGGAGTTGTGGGTTGGTGAAATCACCCTGAGAATACCAGAGTCAAGTTGGGGCATCACAGCTCCAGAGAGAAGGCAGCAGCAGATAAATTGGAAAGAGTTCAGAGACAAGCATAGAGAATGATAAAGGAATTGGAAGACATGACTTATGTGGCAGATCGACGCTCCCGACGATGCATCCATTGAGGCTAGCTTGCCAGAGTGATGAGTAAGGGGGTAACATGATAAGACTTGAAAATCATAAACAGCCAACTAGGAGAGCAGGAGGATGGCTGGGGTTCGAGGTGCTTGTAACGTTCAGAGACGAGACAAGAGGGAGTAGTTTGAATGTCAGGAACAACTATACTCAACAACGAACTCAATGTTGCTCAGTAAGGTAGCTTAATGATCGCTCTTAGATCATTGGATGTATCAGAGAAAGGAAAGAAAGCCCCCATGGTAACCATGGTTACAGTGCCTTCCCAGGACCATGAGTTTTTGGACACAACCTACCCAGATGAGTCAAACTAACCATCTTGAATGATGATGTTGATGCCAGATCTTCCATAAGCTACTAGGACCCGTGTACATAAAACATCTGGCATTTTAATGGAACCCTTTCTTAAAGGTATATAAAACAGCTGAAATAAACATCTGGAGAAATACAGGAAGTTAAAGCATTGTATTTCTTAATTCTTTTTAAGATTAACTCTTTTTAAGGTCCACAATAATACATCATTGGAGGGGGAAGTTTTTCATCTTATTGATTTCCTTGTTTTTAGGTTTGCCTGTTTTGATTTTCACTTTTGTTGTTGAATTTTTTTGGTTGTTGCTTTTTGCAGGGAGTGGCATGCTATGATTTTCTACTTGAGTATTAGGAATCAGAGCACAAGTCTTCATGTTTGGGCATCAAGGACTTTAGCGGCTGAGCCATCTCAGCAGTCCAGAAAGCCATTTTACTGGGGCTAACAGGTCAATGCCTCAAGTTGTTCCTGCCATCCAGTTTCTGTGTTAAACACTCAAGTCTGCTACAGCCATGGGAAAACAACCATGAAGGAGATAGAAACAAGTGGTGTGACCATGTTCCAATAAAACTTTATTTATAGACATGATGTGGATAGCCTATCACTTCATGGGCTGTACCAACTGCTTGTCCTTTGACATTTTACTCATTTAAATATGTAAAACATCTTTAGCTTGAGTGGTTAAGAAAAGTTAACAGGGAGGTAGATTTCCTAAGCTAAGAGGCTGAGTAGCGTTTGATTTCATTTCTAGTCACACTGTCTGTATTATATGACTAAGCAATTTCAGATGCTACGTGTGACATTAAAACCTGTGAACAGAGAGAAAGGCCTTCAGCCACAACACAGTCAGCAGAAACTTATGAAAGCAAAGATGATGCCCCTGAAAACAGAGAGGTGTGTCCTCATCAAATGTTATCTCCAGGGCCCCCTAAGATTAGCTACTGTTCCTTCAAAATAATCAGGTGGATTTCCCCTCCCCCCAAACCATGAACAAGGAAAATAACAGGCAAGCACAGTGTCTACTTACTCTATACTCTTTCTTCAAGTTCCCTTAAAAGAAAAGGCCCTGCCACCTAAAACCTCCTACCTCTGCACCACAGAAGAAAGCAGAGACGATAGATCATTCTGCAACCGTCACCCTTCCTTTTGGATGTTCGAGTCCTACCTGCTTCCTTTCTGCAGGTCGGATGGCTGATAGGCAGTGGTATTTCCATGTGCTTCGGAGTCACTAGGCTGCAGGTGAATGGTTACTAACACATGGCCGTTGAAACAGAGTCCAACTCACCATTGGGGTTGGTCAGCCACTGAGCTCTTCCTGTAAATGCTGAAGTGCGGGGACACTTCTCCTGTGCTTTTTTTTCATGCAACTGTTTGGAATTATTCCCTGTGAACTGGAATGTTCATCAGACGGCTAGCGTGAACCCTGTGTAAACAAGCCAGAATCTCAAGGCAGCATTCAGAGATGGGACGGTCCTGTCAATGGAATGATTGTTTTAAAATTGATGCCTCCAGCTCAGAGAGTGACTCACGGCATGGCAGCCTAAATGTTTACCTAATGTTGTCTAGGAGAGAAAGACGGCTTTGGCTTCTGGTATTGTCAACTCACGTGTGGGGGGGGGGGGAGGGTAATACAAATGAATATGCATAGATATTTGTAACTAAATAGGAATGACTAGTTCCTCTCAAGCTTCATTCAGTGTACTGAAAACAAGCTGTGACTTCCCAACTGCAGCTTTCCCCCAGATTTATGGGGATAGTTTTGCGGTTTTCAATATCTTTTAATAGGCGTGCAGCATCAAAGCTGGCAACGTTTACTAAAGTCAATAAATAACCGCATGGTATTATTTGAACGTCTATGTCCCTAAAAGGTAACAAATTCACTACTTGTGGGGGAAAAATATTTCATGACACGAGCGTGGAAGACAAGCGAAGAAGAAACATACCTGCCCCCTAACAGTTGTCAGGCTGGTTGAATTACTGGCGCTTTGTAAATCACCTTCAGCAGTAAGAAGTTGCAATAAAAGAATATTGTCTCTGCAAAACAAATTGCAGGTTTGATCATTGCTACTAACTTAAAGGCATAGCCCATACCACCACAGAGTGCATAGTCAAATGGGAAAATACAGTCAATTCCACAGCAAACACATACTAATTTTGATAAATTTGTGTGTGTGTGGGCGCGCGTGCGAGTGTGTGTGTGTGTGTGTATGTGTGTGTGTGTGAGAGAGAGAGTATTTAGTTCCCAGTTCTCTAAGAAAACCAAAGAGAGAAAAACACATAAATTAGAAGACATACTAAAGTTTTAGAACAATGCCGGGCGGTGGTGGCGCACGCCTTTAATCCCAGCACTCGGGAGGCAGAGGCAGGCGAATCTCTGTGAGTTCGAGGCCAGCCTGGGCTACCAAGTGAGTTCCAGGAAAGGCGCAAAGCTACACAGAGAAACCCTGTCTCAAAAAAAAAACAAAAAAAAAAAAAAAAAAAAAAAGTTTTAGAACAAATGGAGGGGCCAGGGATGTAGGTCAGTTAGTACAGTGCATGCTTGGTATGCACGAAGCCCTAGGCTCAATCTCCAGCATGTGTCTGCAATCCCAGCATTCAGGAGGTAGAGGCAAGGACATCAGCAGAGTGAGTTCAAGGCCAGCTTGAACTATATCAGACTCTACCTCAAACAAAACCCAACAAAAGGACAAATGGAATATGTGCCCGTGGGACGCTGATTGGGCCCAACCGATGGAATCTCAGAAGCCAGCAGGGTCAGGCCTGGTTAGTACTTGGATAGGGCAACAGTTATAACCAGTTGATCAAAATAGAACCCATGAGAACAGTGACACAGGAAGAGGTGTTCTAGAAAGTGGGAGGTAAGGAGGGAAGAATAAGGGGAATCCCAGAGCTCCAGCTTGGCTTGCAACCGATCAGGAGTGTGCCTTGTGAGGACTATTGTGAAAACAGAGCTGCATGTAAACTCATAAAGTCAGGAGTGTGGACTCAGCAAACTGAAGCTCTGTTACTCTCTGTGTGTCCAGGTACCTCAGCTGCTGTTCTTATGAAGGGACACCATGACTGAAGCAACTCTTACTCCGTTTTAGAGGGTTAGTCAATGATCACCACGGCCAAGAGGAGGCGTGGAGATGGAGAAGTAGCTGGGAGCTACAGCCTGATCTGCAGGCTGCAGGCAGAGAGACAGACCGACACTGGGCCTGGCATGAGTTGAAATCTCAAAGCCTACTCCAAGGGACACACGTCTTCCAACAAGGTCACACCTCTTAACCCTTCTAATCTTTCTCAAACAGTTCCACTCCCTGGTGACTAAGTGTTCAAATATATGAGCCTGTGATGCTATTCTCATTCAAACCACAACACCTAGGTAAGCTATCTAGCATTCTCTTCTTTGGGTTTTGTTTTTCTTTCCATCTCTAAATGGGAGTAGTGCCTCCTTCACAGATTTAGAGTGGGGACACATTGTTTAATATACATAGAGATGTCTAGAGCATTGCTTAAGAGTAAAACCTGTGAGCACTGGTGAACAGTAGCTTGGGCGTCTTGATCCCTTTCTCTTCAACAGCCAAGATGATCACAGTAGTCTTTACACCACATATAACCCCTCAAAGGCAAGTCCAGGCTTTACCCTAGTCTGCTGTCTCACCCAGTAGCTCCTCCTTCCTCTTACCAAAATCTCCCTTTTCCTAAATCCCGTCCTTCCAGATTGCTAACTATGGCATGCTACAGGTGATAAGCTAACATTTCGGAAATGTGAGGCAGGCTCTAGCTCTCCTGCCCAGCTCTCTCCCTATCAACTCATTTGATTTCATTGGACCCCGTGGGGTAAGAACAGAGAACTGAAGAAGGGATGCTTTGAAGAGTGAGTAGATGTCACCGCATCCCACAGCTAACAGATGACAGACAGGGGCAAAGTAGAGGCCGAAGAGGCAGGGCTGAGCTCTCTACAGAAGAGAACTGCCACCATCCTGCCACTGCGAACCTAATTGGGAGCCAAGGCAAAAACATTCACACGCGCACACTGGTGTATCTGAGCAAAGGGCCCTGGGGATAGTGCCAGAACTCCTCACGCCGGTTACAAGCACACTAATAAGGAAGCGCTGGTGGGAAGGGCATTATGACTACTGCCCAGTCTCCTCCTCTCATCATTTGCCCGTAACGTTTCCTCTGCCAAGCTCCACTCAGCTTTACAGGAGTTAGGAGAAATCCACCCTGGGTGGGAGCCCTGAAAGGTGGGTTTGTTTCTTAAAGGAGACGAGACTTCTTCCCACCTTAAATCACATAAATAATTCAGCTCTATTTCTCAACATGAATGTAAACACCAATCAGAATTTGTGTGTGCCTCTCACACTGCTTTCATTAATGAAAAATATTCATAGTTACACGATAGATGAGAGACAGAGAGATAGATGATATGGAGATAGAAAGTTCCATATGCACTATATACATACATAGGTAGATACATAGACATATAGATACCTAAGTTCATGTTTTAATTCATAGTTAGCAATTCACTTATTCATTACTAGCTTCCTGATAACTGTTTATCTTCATCAGGTGACATATGACAGACCCAGCTTTGACACACTTCCTTCAGTAACAGTCTCAACAGTGAGGACTTGTTCAGTAGGTTGGGCAGTTAAAATACACAGCACTGGGCAGAGCGTCACTCAGCTTTGGAAAACCTGGCAATTGTTACCCAGTTCCTGGTGAAAACGACTAGTCAGAATCCATAACACCAGGAAATGGAAAAACAGCTTCCCTCCCCAAAATGATGAGAACTAAGGAGAAAAGGATCCAAGGGCTATTTAGAATGGCACAAAAAAATGATGCGCATAAAGTGTTTGTTATGAAGTCTAAAGTCCAGCTGTCAAGGTGAATGCTATGAAACAGAAGCGGAAAAAAAATGCATTTCCTTCAAGAGCTCCCAGCTTCCCCAGCTAACTGGCTGGCTCAAAGAATGAATGGGTACCTGCTGCCAAGCCTGACAATCGAAGTTTGGTTTCCGGGACCTGCGTGGTGGAAGGATTGAAAAGATTCTCACAAGTTGTTGCCTGACCTCCGCACCCTACTGTGGCACAGCCACACACTTGCACACACAAAATAAATGATTAAATAAGTAAATATAACAAAGTTTTAACAAGAATCCAAAGCCTCAGATTGAGAAGTCCTACATTTGCTCTGATGGGCCCCCCGTTTTTTTTTTTCATTTTTATGTATGTATAGCTATTTTATTTATTGTGGGAGATTAGAATGAGTGTACACACACACACACACACACACACACACACACACACACACACACACACACTGAGCCTAGAAGCCTAGAGACCTGCCTAGAAGCCCTATTTTGAGTGAGGACCAGCCTGGACTATATTCAATGATGGCTACAGTTCTGCTCATCTCTGGAGCAGAGCAGACTAGACTGCCTTTCCTGAGTGTTTGCCGGCTGGTGCCTGCAGTGGAACACACAGACACCTGAACTACACAAATACAAGTTTTACTTGGTTAAGCAGCATTCTCCATGAGACAAGAGGTCAGTCTTCACACAAAGGAAAGACCAGAATGGCATGCTTTTGTGGCAGC